GGGCTATTGTTTCCAAATTAATTCATAGAGATTGTCCAAAAAGACTGCAACAGTAGGGGGTTGATAAAGGAAAGACCACGTTCAAACTGAAATTAGGCATTTATGGAAGATAGTGTGCCTCTGTTGTGCTGGAAGTTTCAAAACTGTTGCTTTCCCATTCTGCTATTGCTTCTTTCCTTACCTACAAAAATTGAAATTTATATCAATTGTGAAGTTAAAGGAGAAGGGATGAGGCCTGGGGTAGAGACAGTGAGCTGATACTGCCAGCTAACATCTACAGACCCAATAAACTGCAGTGAGAAAAGGCCACTTTCACCTTGCATTGTCCAAACGTGTTAACTCAAAACATCTTCTTCTGGGAAAAATTACCTGTCATTCTGTCATAACTTTTAATTGCAACAGATTTATTTCTCCATCCCAGATAGACTGAAAGAGTTTCAAAAGGTGAAAAAATTAAATCAATTAATTTTAAATTTTGTTTTGACTGCAAGTCCTTCTTCCTGGTGTGCAAAGATAGGACCAAAAAACTCATTCACTCTCCAAATGTGCCTGGCTCTGGATTTGGATATTTCATATCCAAACTCTGCCTGTAGTCCATACTTGTTAGCAGGAGGTCAGGGATTAGGGAAACCCCACCCATCCAGGTCAGAGCTGTTATAAGGGGGCCTTTTATTCATTCAGTTGTTCCTTACCCATCCTCTTTCGCACTCAATTTCTCTTTGGTTCCTGTTTGGTTAAGGGGAATTACACATCCATATGGTTAGGAGAGAATGGATTCCTTCTTCCTCTGTAGACAGTAAGGAAAACTAGAGGAAGCATCAATTTGTAATATAAGATGACCAAAGAAATCCTTAGCAATTATTTCATCACAACTGTCTAATTATGAGGATATGGTTTCCTCTCTACACCTGAGGAACTGCAGGGCTGAGCTACATCCCAGATGAGTGTGGTACAACTGAACAGTGCCAGAATTAAGTCTCATTGGAGAAGTTCCTCCTGTTGCTAAACTGGCTGGGTGACCTACTTGTACTGTCACTGGATACTGAGCATCCTTGTCTGAGCACAAAGTTGGTATTATTGCTGATGCTCAGATTTATTAGCTATTTCTCCCTGCCACCCATGATAGGATTTAATCTCAAGTAATCTGAGGTGGCAATGAAACATGATGCAAAGCAGCTTGGATGGTTTTTCACTTCAGACAGGCTTATTCAGTTTGCCCTGTATGGCAGAGTTTGCTGAATACCAAGCAAAAAACCTGTTCTCAGGGAAAAGGCTCTCTCCATATATTGGGTGACTTGCTGCAGTGAAGGAAGCTGCCCTGACCTTGCTTTTGTTCCTCTCCAAAAGCCAATTCAAAGGTACAAACCCAAACCTCCAACATGGAGGCGAAAGAGCTGGAGCCCAGAGGCAGTTTCCAGCTGCCTGGTATCATTTCTTTCCACTAACATGAGCCTCCTCAGGGAGAGGGGTCAGCAAACTGGGCTCCCACCACCCACTTCACATGGCAGGGACTACCTTTGGCCTTGGGGATGAACAGAGGGAAATTTCCCTTCAGCTCAGTCAACTGCTGCAATGTGGTGACTTTGAGTCCTCCATCTTTCAGTTATTTTCTTGGCATTTCAGTGAAAGGCAGAGAATCTGTTTTCCATTTGCTGTACTTTTGCTGGAGTCTGTAATTGCTCTTTGAACCTTCAGGAGCAGGAAACCTATTAAAGACCCAAGAGGACAGGGATTCAGTGCCAGCCAGCACATTCCTTAGCTCCTTTCATCCTGCAAGAAGAGAGTGCTTCTGGCTTCTCCAGAAGGGATATTGCTACATTTTGTTCAAATGTAAGGCTGATTTCAAGAGTAATTTTACCACTCACCTTATAGTTATCATAATTCCTGCTATTTGCAGTATTTAATCTTTACGGTTATTAACAGAGAAATATCTATGGGGAGGTCATTACAGAAAGCCCAAGTATCAAGCTTGCCTTTCAGTATCTTGCAGACTGTAATGACAGATATAATAACAAGAAAATCTGAGTTTGATGGACATGGCACATCAAACTGTGGAAAAATGTTGGGTCAGTGCTTTTAAAGACCCTCTGGAAAGAGAATGAGAAGGCTGCATTTGTAAGGGAAATAAGAGCTGCCTCTTTCAGGTAGAAAAATATGACAAATCTTTCACCTTTAATGATGCCGCTCAACAAGATTAGAGAAGGCTGCATTTGTAAGGGAAATAAGAGCTGCCTCTTTCAGGTAGAAAAAGTATGACAAATCTTTCATGCATGATACACCTCTAACGATGCCACTCAACAAGATTGTTTTTTTGAAGAAGTGACATGGCTCAGAATAAGTGGGATTGGCGTTTGCTGGATTATCTTTGTTGTGCACCCCATCTGTGAACGGCTGATAATCTTCCAGAAAGTGGGAAGTGGTTTGCTGTTACTTTGCCTCAGTGCAGTGTGCCCCACAATGACTTTCTGCTGCATGAGACCCCTAGGGTAGCTAGCTGGCTGTGTCTGAGCCTGTCCCACAGACTCTGGAGTGGGAGAGAAGGAAGCAGCACACCACAAAGAGAAAAGGGTAAGCATCAGAAGATACTTGAAAAAAAAAATAATGGCAGACTGGGGTAGTACTGGGAGCAGGAAGGCACAGATATTCTCAGCCTAAAAACTGAGAATGAGGAGCTTGGTTCAGGTGCAATGAAAGAAACAAAATAGATGATTTTAAGGATGACCCAGCTGAAGTTCATTTGTTATTCTAGTGAACTTCACAACAGCTAGTCCTGTGCCAGGTTTTAGCCCCTTCAGTGGTTGGCTCTGTGCCATTTTAGTAATACAGACTGTCACTAAAGCTGATATAATGATCTGGGGAAATAGAGAATAGAGGGCACAAGAGTATAAGTGATGTGGCTCACGCTGTTGTCCCATCCTTACCATGCTGAAACGTTAAAAGGAAAGGAAGCAGGCGACATGAGGATATCCCATGTGTCATAAAGATGTCAGAAAGGCCTTGAGACTTCTCCAGCTGATGTCTGGGAGTTGGTCCTACTGGAGAGGAGCTAGACAGACCGTCCTAATAATGGCAATACTTGCAGAGGAACTGTCACTTATTTTCTGTATTTCTCCTTATGAGAGATCAAAAAAGGATTTTGCTAGGCAGTGACATGAAGCAAAGCCTGTAATGCATGCTCTGTGTGTCAAACAGAGGCACTGACATATTTGCAGTGGTCATGGGTTAGGAAGGAGTCTGTGCTGTACATCACAGTAACCATCTTGCTTCCAATAGGAACTAGCACTTTGCAAGTGGCAGCTTCTCTACAAGGGACTAACAGGTAGCTCAGCTCGGCAGTTTACAGCAACAACCAGGTTCTGAGAGTGGGGAATCTTTGCTGGTAATCCCTCCAAACTCCTTTATCTCCAAATAATATAACGGGCAAGGACAAAGCATTGGTTCTGGTCCTCAGCCTTGTCCAGTTACACATCTCCTCCCTTTCTCATTCTTCTTGTACTTCAGGTTACTTTAAATGAGGACATATAGAATCATGGAATTGTTTACGTGGGGGAAGACCTCTAATATCAAGTCTAGGCATTAACCTAACACTGCCAAGTCCTTCACCAAACCAAGTCCCTAAGAACAACTTTTACATGTGGTGCATATTGCACACAAAATGCCTGCATAAAATATTTGTAATGGTTGTGGAGTCAAGTGCTTAGAAACCTAAGAAATCCAGGATGAAAGTTACCTGGGTAACATTGAAGCATCCCCTGATGGGCACTCATGGCTGTGAAAGCCTCACAAGGGCTCTCTGCAGTACCCCCTGCCTCATGCATCGTGGGACATCGATGGCAGCGGTCAGCAGAGGAAAAGGGACTGCAGAAGCAGCAGCAAGAGTCATCATGGGACTTTAGGGATGGACTGCTGCCCTGCAGAGCTGACCAGTGCTCCTGTCATCCAGTGTGATGCTGGGCAGCTTAGCCAGATTCCCCAGGAATGATTGTGACAAGGCTGTCCATTGCTTTCTGCGTGCTTAACATAGCCTCCAGTCCCAGACTGTGCTCTGAGGCCAAGCAGGGTTATTTTTATTATGAATTGATTCCCTGATCCTATTTGCAGAACAGGCCCAAAACTGAAAGTGTGTGTGTGTTGTGAGATTCAGTGTAGGGCCAGGGTGGGAAGGCAAGGGCTCTGCTGACCAGGGTGGAAACTATTGAAGCTGGCATTGCAGCCAGAGTCCCCAGAATAGCTGAGCCACAGCTGGCTTGCAAAAGGGAATGAACACTTGCAAATGCACCTGGACTTCGTGCTTTGAATATATAGTGCTTCAGCATGGTAGAAACTGAAAATCCAAGTCCTCATCGTTCTGTATCAAATACACAAATGTGACTTTGCACTTTCAGCAGGCAGCCTCTCATTTACAAAATACACAATATTTACTGTCCTGCTGTGAAAACAAATTTGTTGATGTTTCTGAAAGAGTTAGATATGATATCTTGCTGAATGCCATCAGCTCAAAAGGGGTTTTAGTAATTCTGCTGTCAGAATTTTGTTCAAACCCTATGAACTAAAGATGATCTAAGTTCATCCACTGAGCAGAAGGACAAAGCTAAACCTGAAGTGTTTATTTTTTTTAATTGCAGAAATCCCGTGACAGGAATCCTGTGAAAGAACTGATCTACACTGCATGTCTCAGAGTACAGAAATTAAAACTTCAGTGTCAACCCTTCTTTGGGCACTTCTCATGGGCAATTTCTGGCTTTGCAACTACAACAGTATCTGAGAGTTGTTTTTGTACTCAGACAATACATTTACAGTCATCTTCACTTGTAGCCTACCAGTCCCTGCTCACCTGGAACAGTCTCAACTGAAAAAGTTTTGTTTTAACTAACAGTCAACCAACAGTGAGCTGCTAGCTCAATTAAGCCAGAGAGAATCTCGTATATAGGCAGCTTTTCTTGGAATAAGTGGAGTATTTAATTTGGCTTCCTCTGCTTTTTATTTTTTTTTTTGTACAGGAAAAAATATGAAACATGTGAACATCTCTCATCATCTCTATAATCTACAAACCCTTCTGGATGGGCTTACTAGCACATCCCTGGAGAGACAGCAGGTATGCGTGGGAGCTGGAGTATGTCTGAGATGGTGGCTAATGACCTGTTGTCAGATTCTTTTCAGAAGCAAAGTTCAGCAACACTTCTGATGTGGCAGCCTTTTAGTATAAGAAATTTTAAACACAATTTTTGATTGAAAAACAAAAAGAATGTAAGAAAAATAGTATTTTAAAACTGTTTTGTTTTCTCTGCTCTCTCTCAGCTTTGTGCTCCTTGTTTACAACTTGGAAGCAAAGGAACCAGATTCTTTCACCCTGTGAAAGGTTTAAAACAGGTTAAAGCACCAGCTTAGGATTTTTCTTAAGTAATAACCAACAAGCAAAGCTAAATCCTTTTGCAAAATAACAAATTTAATCGGACAGGCAGCTTTGCACCAGCTTCCGCCAATCTGCTGCCCAGTGCAGAGGCACAGGAACCGAGGGGGCCACAGCTGCTCTCCAGGGAGACTGGCAGGGCTCCAGCACCAGCCAGCCCCGCAGATAAAGGTTCCAGCCTGCTGGGAACACGCAGCAAAGTGTGTGACTGTCCCACTGGTACTCAGCATTGGGAAACTATTAGAGGAATGTGTAGTTCAACAAGCCTCTACACACATGCCTCTGTTTTTTCCCTTGAGATAAGATTTCGTGTTATGAATTCTCAGGGCTTCCCCTGTTTTTCTGGCCAGAGGAATCCTGGCTTAACCCAGCAAATGATGAAAGGGGCCCATAACATGGGACAGAGGCAAGCCTTGTCACCTGAGGCACCTGGCAATACATTAGGAAAGAGTTTTATAAAGCAGGGAACTGTCGCTCTTGGCACAGCTGTCCCTGCAGAAGCAGACAGTAGCTCCTGCAGCCCCATCCCTGTGCAGTTCAGATGCCCTGAGCTGGGTTCTAGCAGCACCGTGGGCTGCCCAGAGCCCAGTGCAGGCTCCAGCCCCGTGATGGGGTGAGGATGTTTGCTCACAGCTCCCCGTGAACCCACCCCGCAGCCGGGGTTATCAGCACACGCTCCAGGCAGGTTACAGCGAGTTCCAGCTGCCTGCATGACCCAGGGGCTGGCCTCTGATCACAATGTCACTGTCTGCTCAGCTCTACACCCCTCCTGCACTGGCTCCTTTGACAGACCACTTAATACACACAGCACATTTCTGGAAGGAAGGAACAATTCCCCACTCCACTCAGAGGCTAACGGAGAAAAGTCTTGCTCAAATACAAGTGCACAAAATGCTTCAAAGTAATTTTCTTGAAAATGGCTGGGAGTAATTTCCTCCTTTGTCTCTGAACTTTTCCTTACTCTTTCTTTATTTATATAAATACTTGCAACAATGGCTAATTGTCAGAAAAATGTAAGCTATTTTTTAGCAGGATTCTTGTCTGCCCATTTCTACATTCCAAACTTCTGTCTTTATAGCTGAGGTCTTGACTAAATTATATAGCTCAGTTCTGAGCTAGGTACTACCTCCCCAGAATAAGCCTGTTGGGACTGACAAGCATCCTTGTTAAAAGCCTGAAATAAAATAATCTGTTCCAAATTACTTATTCTTGGCTCTGGCAACTATTTGTGTGTTTATATGCCCCAAGTTACGTTAATGTGGAAGTAACAGATCACAGAGAGCTGGTAGTGCTGTATATGATACTTACACATTAAGCCTATGGCCATGACATCACTGCCCTTGTTCTGAGCTCCAGTGATGGTGCAGCCAAAAAAAGCGTAACTGAGAACACAACTCATTGTTCTTCTCAGCTGCTAAGGCTGTATTGACTTTGTGAGTCACGCTCAGCATGCAGAGGTGACACATTCCCCCATTAGTGTTACTAATTCCCTGCTTTGGGAAAGGAATAGTGCCTGCTCTAAGAAAACAGGGAAGGGGTGGAGAAGCATTGGGACTCACAAATTTGCTAGTATGGCTTAGTCTTTCTGAGTTCATTTGTCTGCAGCATGGATGTGACAGTAGGATCTTAAGTTGTTATAAACAGAGGACTGTCCTGAGGCTTATATAGGACAACTACTATTTTTTAGGATTTGATGAATCCTAATGAGAGCCTCAGGCTGACTGCAAGATACAGGGAACTAACTTAGACCCCGTGTTTCCATTTCTGTTTTGTTGGCTGACCAGCATGTCAGCCCAGAGGGAAGGAGAGCTATAGGGACAGAATTGCTCTGCTGGCCTCGGTTTGAGAGAGAAGAGCTGAAGCAGCCTAGAGGTGGGCCTAATACTGATCAACATGTGCTAGCACATATGGATGGATTTGTGTAAGAAAACAACAACATCATCAGCATAAAAATGAGGATAATGAGGATGACCAAGTGTGAAAAGCTGGGACTAGCTGTGCCATAGTAGATCACCACCCTTAGCCTCATGTAATGGTTTGCAGCCTTGGCTGATAAAAATACAGCAAACTAGAGGACCAGAAAAGGCTGTTGAAGAAGTTGTCTTTGAGCAACAAAAAGCCAGAACCCAGTGAGGATCAGGAGTGCTTAACAGGAACTGCAGGTGGTGGGAGATGCTTAGCTGGACCCACTTAAGAGGAGCTGCTAAAGGAGTTAGAATAGCTGCAAGAAGCAGCAAGCCAGAGGGACTGGTCAGGGGCTCCTAACCCATCTCAGCTCCAGCTTGAGGAAGCCTTTGCTACCCAGCAGGTGTGTGGCAGTGCCCCTGAACTGTCAGCTGTGAGTGGAGTGTTTGCAGACCAGGGGAGCAATGGTCTGCTCTAGCAGCTGTGCCAGCAAGCAATGAGAAAGGGCTTTGGCAAGTATCATTTTGGGAGCTGGTAGATGCCTGTTATTTTGTTTATGTTCCTTTGTCCTTTTCTTCTTTATTTCCAAAACAGTGCTGTTCTGCTAAGCCATTTATGATTTGTGAGCAAGGCAGTAGAACTCTCTGAACACTCAGTTAATTTATTTTTCTCAAGTTGGAAGTTGGAACACGAAATTCTATTTATTAATTAAATTGAACTGCCCTTGCTGTTGTCAGTCAGACTGGAAGAAAGAGTACATTTATTCCTTCCTTAATTTTTTATATTTCCCTTGTCATATACTTGAGGCAAGGCTGAGGAAAGCTGCTTATTGCCTGTGTTTGAGCTCTTTGCAGACTTGATGAGTCTCTCATGAAAGTCTGCATGAGGAGCCATTGGGAGGTTGGTACCACAAAACTGGGGTTTCAGTCTATATACAGGAAAAAAAATTAAGGGCCTGACCCCTTGGCAGCCTGGCAGCTTTCACACCTCTCCTAAGCAAAGCCTGAATTCCTGACTGCATCTGAGATGCGCTCACCATGTGTGGTTGCAGCATGAAAAGGTGTGTAAAAACTGGATATAAAATAACTCATATGGGTGGTAGCATGGATCTAAGGTCAAACATGCCCAGGCAAAATCCTGGGTAAATGCCCAGTGAGTGAAGCACACGCCAGCACCGATGCACAGCACTGCAGCTCCCTGTGCTAGCCAGAGGAACGAGGGAGGTGTGCCCCCACACTGCCATGTGTCTCTAGGACACTGCCAAGGTATTCTAAGTTTCACCTGGAAGGTCTAGGAGAGGAAATTAAGTGCCTTTGGTTATGTCCTCACTGGTACTGATGATGCCACAAGCATTGCACAGAGTCTTTGGGAAGTCTTTTAACAGCCTCTGTTCGGATGGCCATTCTGGTGATTGCACTTTCAGAGCAGTATGAACAGTATCAGCAGTATGGAAACATTTGTTACATTTGAAGCCTTTGGAGTCCAAGACTGCTTCTTCCTCCTGTGTTGCCTAGAGCAGCCTGGAATGATGTCTAACATACCAGACTGCTCTCAAGCCTGACAGACTGTTTCAGCAGTAGTCAGGACTGGCAGAAGCCAATTGAATCAGGCAGAGAGAATGCAACAGACTGGCCTGAGGCTGTTCATACAGCCCTGAAGGAGTCAGCTGCAGGGAAAGGATTATTTGGGAAGATAGATCCAGATCTTGTGATACTTGTTCAGTTGGACAGGGTGAGAGGAAGCTGTGAGCAGCACCCTTGCAGGTAAAACTGTGATCACAAAGACACCTTTGTCTGTCCTGCCATCACTCCCCTAGTATTTGTACACAGACCCCAGTGCCATCTGCCCCCTAGGAAAACTGACCTCCACATGCTGCATTTTTCACAGGGACTCGATCTATTCCTATGTTTCTCTATCCTTGCTGGAGGAAAGTGTTTCCTAAAGTCTAACCCAAAAGACTTTCACCATTATGAGCCCTTTCACCTTGATGTTCTTCTTGGATCCCCTTAAATAAGATTATGAGGTGCTCAAGATATTTTACTTTCTAAATTCACTCTTCAGAATGGTGTATTCTGCTCATTTCCCACAAAGAGGAAGGCTCCATGCATAAGATGCTGCAGAGAGTCTTTGCCCCCACCCAAAGTCTTGTTTTTCAGAGTGACGCACACCCTCCTCTGCTATTACTTAATATGAAGTGAAGTCACTGCTTTCCTCCCCTTTAAACTGCTCCACCCTCAGTCAGGAGGTCTGCTTCTCCACCCTTTGGCAGAACAGCTGTTTGGGGGTGGAGGTGAGTTTAGGGGTGGTGTTGACCAGTCTCTCATCTGGGGAGAAAAAAAACAACCAGTGTAGCCCTGTCAAAGAGCTGCTTCAGAGCTGGAAACAGCCCTGAAATCCTTCCCTGCTTCCGTGTTTGTGTGTATTTCATGTGAGCACAAGTTAATAAAATCATTTATGTCAGTCTGTGGGGCTACTTTAGGATGCAAAGAAGAGTGTGAGCACAGCACTGGCTATTCTTTATTTGTCTTTTTTCCCACTCCAGAAGAAAGTTTTCACTGGAACTCCCAGCCTCCTACTTTGGCAGCTAGAAAGAGGCAGAGAAGTTGGTGTGTAGTGTGATGTGGGTCTAAGTTCTCTCTGCTCTGCTCAGACCTTTCTCACAAGCAGTGGGAAGCAAGATAGTCCCTTGGAGTTGGGTGCAGCTGCATGTTTTTGCCTTACCTCTCTCACTGTGAGCTCAAGTAGCCCAGAAGCTGCCCTAAATATACTCCAGCATCCAGCAGTCCCTTAGGGACCACGTGCCAAACATGCCTGGAAGACAATGTGGTGCAGCCACTCTTCCTTCCCACCCTTGACAAGCCCTTTCCGGCATGCTGGTGGCAGTTCTGGCTGTCTGCTCACTGGACACTTCACTGCAACAGAGAAACAAACCACAGGCAAGGGAGGGATGCCTGGATTACAGTCTATATCCTTGGAAGACAGAGTGTTGACATCTGGGGCCTCAGCATCAAGGGGAAGGGTTTTAGGGAAGGCATTTGCTCCAAGAGGTGTTGTGTCGCTCCAGAACCTCTGTGTTTAAAAGGGGAAGACTGTGAATGTTCATTCAGAAAATAAATGGTATCATGCAAGGAAGCACAAAAAATGTGAAAGAAACTTGTCCCAGTAGGAGAGGCAAATATTTCAAATGGCTCATGCAGAGGGTGCCAACTGGAAGGGACCTCTCCCATGAAAAGGATAAACAGATGGTGAGGGACAGAAGACAAAAGCAGAAGGTCTGGCAAGTGAGGAGGCAGCTGGTAGCTCCAGTGGTCAGAATGGCCAGCTGTCCTGGGTTTGGAGGACTGGACCTTCACCTGCTGTAGAGCAAATGTAGTTTTGTTCCAGTTTTGTGGGGACTAGTAGAGGAGCTCTCTGTGTACATAACTACTTTTCTGATATCTCCTGCTCCAGCCAGTCTGTACCAGCTCATGAGTTCTGTTTCACTGTGCTACAGCAATTTATACTCCAGTCTCTGTTTTCCCTGCTCCTCAGGCATTTCCTGGCTGAAGCAGCCGTTAGCTCTGCTCTGCTCACTCAGATGCTTTATGATTATTTACTCTTAAATAATCAACTCAAAAGCAGCAAAGAAGAAAGTAGGGGTCCCACAAATTTTTTTTATTTGTTTATATAAAGGTAGCACCTCACTCAAATACCAACATCCCCATTGTGCCAGGTGCTACACAAAAATGGAACCAAGTCTGTGTCCCAGAGGGAAAATGATTTTTGTATTAGCCGAGACAGACGGAGCGCAAAGATGCAATGAGCTAATACTGGTTAATTCCAGCAGTCTAGGACTTGAGCTTTGCATTGTTACAGAGCTCACATTCCTGGGTCAGAGAAACCATATTTTTGGGAAGGTTCAGTGGAAATGGTTTTGGGACTGTACCAAAGCCCTCCCAGGATTCCAGTTTTCTTAGTCTTAGCCTCAAAGGAATTTACAGCTGGCTCGGGCAGAACTGGAAGTCCCCACAGGAAGGATTTTGTTGATATTCAGTCTTTGGAGGACAGTGAGCTTCTCTGTGAAAGGCAACACATATATCTGTCCATGACCACTGCACCACACCCACTACTTCTCCAAAACAGATAGAGTTTCACGGGCTCACATGACCACGTCCATCTGTTCAGGGATTATTAGGACAACCTGTATATGGGGTGTAGCAGGGGGAGATTTCCTCCATTCATTCCTTCAGTTTAGGCAGGACTTATCTCTGTCTGAACGTGAAACAAGCTGCCAACACTTCTTAAAAATTAAGGGACCTTCAGCAATCAGCAGAGCTCCCAGGAAAGAACTCAACAGGTCTGTTTTATGTGCAGACTGACTGCTTCTGGCCAGCCAGAACAGGGTGCTACAGGCAGTCTTGTCCAAGACACCCTAGTCAGTCTTTTGCTTCTGGTCCAACACAAAACCAGAGGTGTCTGTCTAATTAATAATGTAAATCTGGCCTCTGGCCTATTCTCAAGGAATACTGCTTTTCTATCCTTGAGAGACATAATAATTACCTTTCCTTCCTCCTAATCAGTTTCTCAGGATTCCTCACCTGGCTCTAAGATTATTTAAATCAGTCAACTGCAAATAAGGTTAGCGACCCAATTTCCAGGGTCATAAATTTTCTGACAGAGCAGAGTCAGCATCTAAGGGCTCATATACCCTTTTACTATCCACAGTCCCACACATCCATCATTCAGAGCACACACTTTTCACCCGCAGAGCATCCTCTACAGATTTCTATGTGGAGAGGAGGGGCAATCAAGATAGGGAATCCAGGAGAAATTTAGGGGAAGAAAAAGAGCCATATGACTGGAAAAATTTGGTTGAGACAGGAGGAGTCATCTCTACTCTTTTACCTTTTTTTTGTAGCCTGTGTGTCTCTGGACTTCAGACTCATCACAATCTGTACAGCAAACCTCGTGGTAGATAAAGAATTGACGTCAATTCACCACAGGAGGGTAAAGCAGGTAAGAGAGTTCTCTGAATGTGGTATCTGCAGTACAAATGCCACAGCCTGCAAGCTCCTTCAGTCCTGGCATGGCACATTTATTGCCACTATGTCCATTTTAAACCCTCTCTAACATGCACTCAATGCCCTTTGGCAGGGACTCATCCTGCCTGTTATGTATCAGTACAGTGTTTGGGACAATGTGGTTTTGGTTTTTCTAACAAAGATCAGAGCCAAAACATAATGACAACATATCAGTCATAGTCTGCATAGGAAAGGCAGTGTCCATGGGATGATAACATCTTTGGTGGTTACCATAAAATTTTAAAGAATAGGTCATTCCCCTCATATACTTTTAAAAAACCTCATAAACTTGGTATGCTAAGAACTTCTAATATGAATATATCTCCCTTATTTGGAAAAAAGGAAAATTTTGCTTCCAGTTGCATGATCCCACTTCATTTTTTGATATTTGACCTGCAGACTAGAGGTTTTCACATCATCTGTCAACCCACAGAGACTATCCCAAGGTTCAGTGTGTGTGAGAGAGATAGGAAAGGAACATTAGGAGCAGGCCAACCACAAATAGCTAAAATTAGCTATGAGAACTGGAGTACTGAGGTCTCTAAGGAACACTAGTCAAAGGAAGAAAATGGTTGTTTGCTAAACTCCCACTTATTCTACTGCCTCTGAGGACTCCTGGCTCATATCCTTGCCCAGACATCCTACATGGCTATTTAAGAGGATTTCCCCCACCCCTTCCCCCTCCATTGGCCATAATTTTCCTTTTTTGTAAGTGCAGTACAGAGTGATATGGGATTCCTGCTCTGGCAGCGAGATTCTGACTGGAAACAGGAAACAGGGGGGCTCTGCAGAGCTCGGCCTCTGTGACAACACGGACGTCACATCCACGTGCAGACAGGGATGCTTCTCACATATGGCAATGATCAGCAGCTCCCCTTTTTCCTCCCCTTCCCTCTTCCCCAGAAGGGCTTACAAAGCCCTAGAGGGGCCATATATCGAGTTAGAAGCAGTCTTTAGGAAGCACGGCTGTGTGAGGCCTCAGTTATGACAGAACATGATTTCTTGCATAATTCTTTCAGATTCTCTGAGGCCAGTAAATTTGAGACTGTAAATCTTCACGTGACCAGAGCATATGGTCTTAGAATAAGACATGGGGTGAATTACAAAGAGACAACCCATCTTCTTCAGAATCTGATTAAGGGAATCCTTTGAGAACTATCCCTTACGTGCAGCCACAGGCATGGTTTTAAAAGCTTCCCTCCCTTCTTCTTCCCAGAAATGCCTGATGGAATAAGTTGGGTTATTTTGGCAGCACCAGGTTCTCCTATTTTCTCCTTCCTATTTTTAAAAGCCTTTTCTCAAAATAAAACCAAATCGCTATGACTGCTTAATCCTTCAGATTATAATTTCAGGGAAAAAAAGAATAAAAATATTGTTAAAAGTGATTGCATTGGTACTGTGAAAACACCTTAGGGGACTTGGTGACATTGTCTAAGCTAAGGAGGTAGGTTCTGGAGGAGCAGGAGGAGAAGGAAATGCTCTTGCAATCACTAGGAGTGAGTATGGGTTTCCTCCAGCCAGCTCTCTGGAGTGCTATTGCTCACATCCATACACAGATTATGCTATATTAGCCTCTCTAGGCTAAGTTGCCATCATATATGGTGTTCAAAGGTGAAGTTTTATTCTGGATGGGGAAGTCAATTTCAAATGAAGTAAAAGATTCCCTTCCTAGCTTGCTCCTTCTTTTTCATGGGGCGGACTGTGCTCTTCTTGATGACCCTGCTTCTTTGGCACAGAAATCAATGGGATAAGGTTTTCTCCAGCAACAGCTCATTCAATCTCAGCACTGGGAGGGAGAATTGAAATGCCTTCAGTAGGTACACCCACAGCTGTCCTGTGAGGAAAGGGAGACCAGATTAGTGCCTTCTATCCTAATTGCACTAAGAATTTGCTGGCACTGTGCAGAACTCGACCCCTGCCTTCCCATTCCCCAGGCTGGTCTTCTGGTGGTTCTGCTGAACTTGAACTGACAGAAAAGGAAGCAAAATTTTGGTTTAAAAATGCTGGGTCATAATCTAGGGAACATAATGATACAGCTGAAATAAAAACACATAAAATGCTTGTCTATCTACTGTCTTTTGAACTGTCAGGTGCTGGGGAAAGTCTGCTGGAGAATCATACCTCTGTTGGTAGAAACTGCTGTTGCTCAGCCCTTTGTTTATTATTTTCCATTAATTATCCCATGATTAAAACTGTAGATTCCTCCCATGCATTGCATAACTTTTGCTCTGAGAGCACTTTCCTCACTGACCTCAGCTAGGTCTCTAGGGAGAACCCTTCTGCCTCCCTGGCCTGTGTGGTGAGAATTCAATCTCTTCTTGCAGTTGCCTTGGGGAGGAGAGGCAGGCAGAGGGAGAGAAAGAGGAGAGGGAGAAGCGAGAATGTGCTGTGCTAAGCTGCTATTGGACACCTGCTTCTGCTAGAAGTGTTCAGAACCTCTCCAACCTCTTAGCACTTGAGATGAGCCACTGCTTTGGAGCAGTCCAGGATCCCACTGCAAGACACTTGGGATAATGCTGGACCCCTGGCCAACGCTCTGTGCAAGATTTGGTGTCACAGCTACAAACAGCAAAGCTACAGAGAGGTGTTTGCTAGCTCAGAGCACATGGTCAAGCTTTGGTATCTTCAGAGTTCAACTCCTGGTATGTAATCTGTACATACAGACTACACCTTCCTGGTTCCTGCCAGCTCTGGGTAGTTCTCACTGGAACACCCCTCAGAAACACCTCTCAGAAAGGCACAGCGAAGGGATAGAGGCTGTCAGGTTAAAGGAGAAGGGAAGAAGGGCTGTGGATTATCTCTGTCTTCAATGGAAAAAGAATACAATTTTCGCACATCTGTGCTAAATCAAACACTGATTTTTTCACTCCTGACATTAATACATTAGGTGTGGAACTCACACTGCCAACCTAAAAAGTTCCTTTGAGGAATGCATTACTCTTCACTTGGGAAGAGCAAGATAATAAACAAATAAGTGTCCTCACTTAAAACTGCAGATCTACCATCTCCTCATCTTTTGTCTCACACCAAATGCCAAGATTTATGGATAAAAATTCCAAAAGAGTGAGGAAACCAAAGCGCTGCCTTTTGCTCTAGAGAAGAAAGAGATCCGTCCTTGAAATCTCTCATCGGAAATTCCCCAGCTTCTCCTGGCTGGGACTGTGAGTCTGAGGGAAGGGCCTGATGTCAGTGAGCAGTCAGCTACTGTTTAGAATACAGTACAGATTTGGGAACACAGGAAGAAAAGAATTGAAAAAGTCTGGATTTAAAAGAAAAGTCCTATGCTGGAGCAATAATCTCTGTTGGGATTTCCACACAGAGGAACTGCTTCTCACGTTTGACATCATGGGGTGGCATGCATGACAGGAGTCACTGAGTTCATTCCCTGCTGGGACACTATCCTTGCATTAGAGACTGCCCTTGTAACTAATACCTTAATTTGCAGTTTCAGGTGAGAGACTGGTAACACCCGCAGTATTGGGATGAGGAGACTGTAAGAATAGGAGACTATTCTTACAGGAACCCTTAATTTGCAGTTTCAGGTGAGACTGGTAACACCCGCAGTATTGGGATGAGGAGACTGGCTTATTCTTACAGGAAATTTCTGAAGGTTGCACAGGGAGAAGCAACTCAAGACATCAACTTTTTCTGCACTTGCACCTGTTCTGCAGGTAAAGAAAAGACCCTTTCTTCACACCAGACAGCCCAATACTATTTCCAGGCTCTTTAAAGAAACAAGGAAAAAAAAAGGCCCTGTGGTGCTGCTCTTTCTGCTTTTCATATGTATGGTGATTTTAGGAGATTCCAACTTGCTTTAAAAACAGTGACACATTCTAGGGACTGGCACATGGAGGGGGTGCAGCTCTAATAGCCGCAGACCATCAGGATGGTCTAAGAGATAACAGGATTACTGCCTCCTGCCTGGGATCTTTACCTCCCTACACTCACATGGGATTGTGGAAACAGCTGTATCCTGACAGTGCCCTCTGATGAGAAGGAGAGAAAGATTATGCTGAGAAATGAGGAAGCAGGCTCAGTCCATGCCTTCAGAAGCTGGTGAGAGGCAGAGAGATGAGAGGAGAAGGATCTAGCAGTTCAACATGCCAAAAAGGCCATGTCCTCAGGTCAGCCAGCTCTCCCCCACAAGGGAGGCTGTATTCAGCTCTCCTGCTTCTCTGTGGACAATCATCTCTAGCAAAAGCCAGGCCAGTAGCTGAGAGACAACCGGGGATGCAGCGGTCAGCCACCTTCAGTAAAAACCAAAAATTGGAAAAGTTGAAAGTGAAATCCTGGACTGTGCTGGGGAACTGAAAAGCACCAAGATAATCCCTCACCCCTGCCAAGCAGAGTAAACCTCATCACAGGGAGGGCAACCAGCCGTGAGAGAACATGCCAGTCTGACAGGCTTTCTGTCCCACCCTTGAATTTGAGCAGGACATTAAGGCTACAGTGAGAGAAGGCAATGAATGACAACCACACCAACCTTTAGGCTCTTATTCCATCAAAAGGAAAATTTGCCCCACAGCTGCTCATGGAGCTGATGAAGGGAGCAGATGTTACTGCTTTTCTGTGTCTATCCCTTCTTCCTCAAACTCCCCTCAAAGTTTCTAGAGAGATATTGTCTTCTTCAAGTTACGTGGATAGAAACGTCAAACCTCGATTGCAGCCATGAATCTGCTCATGAACTCTGCTGGCTGCAATGCCACAGAGCTGCCTTAAAGCTCTCTTAAAAATGTGAGGCATTCCAGTCATTTTAATTACTGTGCATTGCATAAGCCAGAAACCAGTTCATACAAAGGAACAACAGAAAAGTGATTTTCAATTGCTCTCACTCTCTTCTGTATTTAGTGCAGCCTCCAAAGCTCTGGGAACACCAGCTCTTATTAACATTTGAAGCACTTCATCTATTTGAAATCTCTTTGTTCAATCACTTAAAGCTATTGATGCAGTTTAGAAGGGTTTAAAAAAGAAAATCAAAACTTCAATTTGGAAATGGCTACAGCAGCAGGAAAGCAAAACAAGAGAAATGGAAAGACTTACTATAAACAAAAATGAGAGAACATTAGTTGCTTGGAATGAGGCATAGGCAGGTAGAACCAAGCAAATAACGTCGTGTCCTTCCCTCCCGGATTCTGTCAGACCATCTAATCACAGCCTCCTGGCTTGAACCCTGCATGGTACTGAGTCCTCTGGCCCTGGTCCAGAAATGCACTTAAGCTTATATTTAACTTTGTGTATGTAAATGGTTCTGTTGACTTCAGCAGAGCATCTCGTGTGCTTAGAGCTGAACATGTGCCTTAGTGTTTTGCTGGATTTGGGCCAAAGAGCACGGTCATGTGCAGGAAGCATTTTCAGCTTGATAAGGCTGTTAAAAGATATTTCCTGGTTACTCTTCTGCAGCTGATGACACATGAATGGAGGATCCCCACACTACTGAGGGGTGATTTCATATTCCACAACCCCTTATAATGTAATATTCCTGGAAACACATGCTGCCTACAGTCTGCTACCAGGCTGGGTGCTCTCAGTGGGCACAGTCTCTAAAGGATCCTTGAAGACTGAACACAGTATAGAACTGTTAGAGCTGATGAAAATTTAATGGTGTACCTGCAATGAAAAGCTTGGGAATGGGATGGAGTGTTACCTATGTCTGGCTTGCAGACAGGAAGGTGACATAATTCCTTTGCAACCTCAGAGAAAGAGATCAAATGAATTTTTTGTATGTATTCATAGAATCAAAGACATTTTTGAAGAAGGAGTATTCTCATTTTAAATAGCATATAAAATTCACTGATAAAATGGTGGAATTAACAGGAGTTTTTTCAACTTGTTTCACATCTATGAATCATAGGAAATACAAACATTTCAGACAAAACTCCTCCAAGGACAGTGTTAGAAAAGAAACAATTCACTGAAAAAGAAGCAGATAATAAAGAAATACGAGAACCTTTTTCTAATGCGATACATGACCATTCGCTACTGTCCTACAAGATGGCAGGGGTGTGCTGTAGAAAGAACATCAGATAGCTCTGAAAACACCTACTCTTCCCCTCATGCTGCACGAAAGCAGAAAACAATGCCTAGAGGGCATGATGCTGAGCTGGTGTAAAAGATATAAAGATCATCAACTTCAAGAAAAGTTTTTAGGACAAGAGAATGCTTTTGAGCAACTTGTCAGGTGGACAGTTTAGAATGCTAATGGCAAGACTCCACGCTCTTGAATCAAGTAAATTTGTTGTCAAAAAATTAAAATAGAAAAGGGCCCTTACTTCAGAAGCTTTTAAAATTATATTGTTAAGGAGGTGGCAGGGCTGTTGAACTGCAGGTTGATTTCATTCATGCTAAGCTCAGTTTAAGCCAGCTAAGATCTGGTGAGGAACTGAAGTGTTACCAACCACTACATGTGACATTTGTGAGGGTATTTTTCTCTGGTGATAGTGGGGTCTCTCTCTCTCTCTGCACCCCTCTCTCTCTCTCTTTCTCTCAGCCCTCCTGGTATGTGTTTTATTGCCAGCAGTTGCTGTAGGTTGATGAAGCCCTTCTGCACTGAAGCAGCCGGCATCCCTCACAATGGAATGTGATCAGAAGGCAAGTGAACATGCCTTCAGCTCATATCTCAGTCTCTGTCCCTGGTTCCAGGCCGGTCTTGTGGAAGGAAAATGATGTTAACATGCACCTGATATAAACCGAGTATCTGAAAGCAGAAGGTGATTCTCCTTCCTGAAATGTAAATAAGACACCCAGCTCAGTGTTTCCTTTTCCAAGGATCGGTTCTTTCGGCGCTGCGGAGGAGCCGGCTCCCTGCGGCGGTCGGGGCCATCTCCGGCAGCGCACTGCCCCCTAGCACCGCCGCGCACATTCCTGCGCCATGGAGCGAGAGGGACCCTGCTCAGCCAGCGGCACCTGCGGGACGCGCCTTTCCCTGGGAATTTTCACAGCGACTGTGGACCCAGCCCAGTCATGCTGGGCTTGCGGGATCCGACAGGATCACAGCATGAAGCTGTGCGGCTGCTCGGTAAGGCAGAGATGTCCTTAATTCTGTTCAGCAGTGTGCTCTTGATGGAACACTGGAATAACACGGATTTCTTTATTTGGTGACATTAACCAAATGTGAACTCCGATTTTCTCATATGAAGATCAAGGTGTCTATTTTCTCCTTCTTTCAATGCTGTCTTCTTTATGGCCATATAAGGTTTAAAGTTTTATCTGAGCAAAGAAGCGGAATGATAGTTTGATAGTTTTTATTTTATTTTTTTCCCTTTGCAGTTTTTCCCATGCAGACAGTGCATAGAGGAGGAATTCAGAGATAATTCTCCTTTCAGTTCCTTCATTGACTTTTTCTGTTACTCTGACACCATTATCAATATTTTCTCATATAAATAAACACTCAGAATCCTTGCCTGGCTTTTTCAGAGTTCACTTTGCTGGCAGGTCTTAAAGGGGATAGGCTAATATTTGATATCTAATAGATATTATCAGATGCTAACATAGAATATCTCCATTTACAGATGATAAAATGAGTGTACAGGGAGATTAAAGTATTTAACAAAGGCCTTGAGCAGGCCACTGGCCAGACTGAACTTTCCTGAGTATGATTTACCTGTACTTTACAAAAATAACACATTCTGGTTTCTCTGTGTGAAGTGTACTCTTCAAGAGGCAAATAAATATTGTTCTTATTGTACAGTATCCAGTCCTGATTGAAAAAACTGCACCCCTACTACTGTAAAGAAATTAATCTCTCTGAAAAAGAATATCTAAGTGTAAAAAAAAGCAGATGAATCAGCTAAGCCCTGACCAAACACAGGTACTACTACTCCAGGCAATGATAATACAGGCACTAAAAAAGTTTCTGGATCATCTCCCAAACAGTGGTATAGAAGATAGCGGTAAGCCTTGCCATACGGACAGCCTGCACCCCCTCTCTTCCAAAGAGATGTGCCCAGCCCTTGGATCAAGCTGTGTCACTCCTTTTTATCTGATTGCTTCTCTGGATTATATCTGAAAAGTGAGCCAGTTCCTGCAATCAGCCCAAACTTGGTGTCATTTTAACTAGCTTGGTCAGCCTCACTGTAAGCAAGCTGCTTCCATAGCTTGGAGGGCCCTGTGGAACTTCAGTAATTGTAGACCCCTTCCTCTCCCATTTCAGAAACTGAGGAGGTGACTGAAGGGCTTGTTTTTCAGTCTCCTCTGAATGTGTCCTGCATCTGTGTATCACAGACTCTCAGAATTTACACAGAACCCAACAGCTTAGAAGCTTATTACAAAGCATTTAGCATGTTAGTCCTCGGAACACACAGGAAAGGTGTTATTATAGGAATGAAGAAACATATTCAGGGGAGTTACTTGGCCAGAGAGCGAAGGGAGGTGGTGCAGGAGCTGTGATTATAATCTAGTTGTGTGTGGGCCAAACTCTCCCTTATTTACACCAGTGTTAGGTTCTGGCAGAATTCTGCTTCTCTCAGATATTGATCTGAGATGTTGAAAGGCCAGGTGTATCATGATGTCGGTGGATATCAAACTTTTTACAACACCAAACGAAAAATGAGAGTGCCAGGCACACCTCATTCTTCTTCCGTGTTTCTCTGCTGAGGCTGGTGGAGCTGTTCCTTGTTTACACCCAGTGAGACTGAAATGACATCCACCCAACCTGATGGATCCAGCTTCACTTGCACTACCTTGAACAGACAGTCCAAGCACCTGAGGTATTTTTTGCGCAGGGTTTCTCGTATTGCAGTTTGGGCCCAGTGGTTCAGACTGTGAGGTGTCTAAATGGAACCAATTATTTAATACCCTGTCTCACACATACTTACAGGACCCGTTAGTGCCTCAGCACCATCTGATTTTTTCAGTGTGTTCCCTAATGCACATTCCTGAGCAGCTCCCAGCACTATTATCCCATGACACAGGATTTGAAGCACAATGAGGCAAAGCTGCCACACAGGTTGTCTGTGTCACGGTGAGGATAGGAACTTGTGTTTCCCACTGCTGGCATTGCAGCCTTGATCCCTACTGACAACACCCATCCTGAAGCTCTTGCCTACCAATGCCCCAAATAAAAGCCTGTGCTTCCATAAGACAGGAGATTTTGATTTTATATGGACACTATGATTAAAGAAAAGGTATAGGAAGGCTGTGCTTCACCCAGATGGAACAGAATTGTAAATCTAAAGACTTAGCTGACTATATAGAAATTTAGGACAGCTGGTCCCTGGCCTTTAATACCAGCATAATTTATAACTAGACATGCTTAAGTCTTGTAAACCCCATGGAAAGTACTCTGACATTATATACACTGGTTTGATACTGTGATTAATCACCCTTCAGTCCCCTTTGGAGGATAATAAGGCTGTCTGTATCATGCAGCTGGCAATCTCCTTCCTTACAGTCCCAGCTCTTCTATAACATTTACATTTCTACAGCTGATGGAAATTTATGGCTCTGAAAGGGGATAAAGGAAAACAAAACAAACAGGACATTTCTCTAAATTCCACTAAAGCTGCTCTGCTGAAATATACTTTGAGATTAAATGTTGGGGGTAGATACAACACTGCTTTTGCCAGCTTGTTTTTAGCAGTTTATGATGGCTTTCTGACTGAAAGGCCAGAGAAGGGGAATTGCTGGGTTGTGGAGAAGGAGCATCCGAGCAGGACTAAAAACATTCAGGGCAAGATCCTGGTTTCAGTTCAGATAGATCTTGTCCTTTCCCCCCATCCTCTCTCTGCTGCCTGTTGGGAGAGGACAAGAAGCAGCACAGCGCCCTTGTGCCTTATCCGATGGCTGTCTGAAGGCTCTGGGACAGCCTGAGCAGCGTGCCGTGCCTGCGGTGCAAAGCCCGTTCGCAGGCAGCCCGGACCCACCGGGGGGGAGCGGCGCCGGCTCTCCAAGCCCGCCGCAAGCCCCGCTGCGCTTTCCAGGTGTCCTGAGGAGCGGGGTCCCGGGGGGGATGTGACAGGCTCGGGCGGACACTCCCGGTACGGGAGAGCTACTGCTGCTAAGGGGCGAGGCTTCCCCCGCCCCACGGTACCGGCAGCGGGCCGGATCGGGTCCAGGTCGGATCGGAGCGGGTCGGAGCGGGTCGGGGTCAGAACCGGGATCGGGGTCAGAACCGGGGTCGGGGTCAGGGTCGGGGTCAGGGTCAGAGTCAGAACGGGGGCCGGGATCAGCACCGGGGTCAAAACCGTAGCCGGGGTCAGAACCGGGATCGGGGTCAGAACCGGGGTCGGGGTCAGAACCGGGGTTGGGGTCAGAACCGCGGCCGGGGCCGGGGTCGGGGTCAGGGTCAGAGTCAGAACCGGGGCCGGGATCAGCACCGGGGTCAAAACCGTAGCCGGGGTCAGAACCAGGGCCGGGGTCAGCACCGGGGCCGGGGTCAGCACCGGGGTCAGAACCGGGGCCAGCACCGGGGCCGGGGTCAGAACCAGGGTCGGGGTCAGAACTGGGGCCGGGGTCAGAACCGGGGCCGGGGTCAGCACCAGGGCCGGGGTCAGCACCAGGGCCGGGGCCAGCACCGGGGTCAGAACCGGGGCCGGGGTCAGAACCGGGGTCAGCACAGGGATCAGCACCGGGGCCGGGGTCAGCACCGGGGTCAGAACCGGGGCCAGCACCGGCTCCGGGCCCGGGGCCGCGCCCCCGCCCGCCGCGCGCCCGCTCTATTCCCTATAAGGCGCGGCGGGCGCGGCCCCGCCTCGCGCTCGCGCCGATGAGGTAATGCGGCGCTACCATTGGCCGCGCGCGGCGGCGCCCCCGGAGCGCGAGCGGCGCGAGCCGGGTATAACTCCGCGCGCCGGCCCCGCTCCGCCCGCAGCGCTCCGCGCCTCAGCTCCCCTGAGCTCCCCTCAGCGCCGCGCCCGCGCCGTCCCGCCGAGCCAGTCAGGCAGACAGACAGACAGGCAGACAGAGACTGCGGCAGGGCAGGCAGCCGCGGAGCACGGGCTGTCAGGGAGCGAGAGTAAAGTCAGGCGAACGCAGCGTCGGCCGCCTCCCGCTCCGCAGAAGTGAGGAGGCACCTCGGGGGCAACATGACGGCGTGGCTGAGCTTCCTCGTCGTGTTCCTGTGCAGCTGGAGCCTGCGGGACTTGGTGGTGGAGGCTTGCACTTGCGTCCCCATCCATCCGCAGGACGCCTTCTGCAACTCCGACATCGGTAAGTGCCGCCGCCCCGCAGCCGCCCGGGCCGGGAGGGCTCGGGGGAGCAGAAAGCTGCCGGGCGCCGAGGGGCGCGGGCAGCGGCGCGGCTGTCACCGCGGGGCCGAGGAGCGGCGGGAGAGCCGAGAGCGGACCTGCCCGCAGCCAGGAGCGGGCTTGGCCGCCTTGCTGCCGCAGCCGCGGGGCTGGTGAGGGGAGAGGCGTGTGGTGGCGGACCCCCGCCCAGCCCTCCCAAGCCCTGTCCCGCGGCGGCAGCAGGCTTTCCCAAAGTACTTTAAAGAAATCAGTCATTGTTAGAGTGGCACGTTTTGTACAGCAGGGCAGAAACACAATTGGAGGTGTAGGCTGCCAAAACTTCCTCCTCAACTTGGTGACAAGGAATAGGAGGCAGCATTAGGATGCGTTCTCCCAAGCCACGAATCCGCCTGTGGCTGCTGGTGGCTGGAGGTGCGGCTCTCACGGGCTTGTGGTGCTGTGCTTGTTGGGAAGGGCTAGAAAAGCAGGTACCGAGTGTCTCCAGGCTTTCCGCATGCTGTGCTGTGGGAGGTATGTATACCTGCACCCTTTTGGGAAAGCTGAAACACTTTCCTTGCATCCTGACTGATATTTTCCACTATGGGTTTCAGCATCCCTAGGGTTCTTCGTTACACTAACTTTAGGTAGGGGACAAGGACAGCACCAAAAATCTCTGAGGAGGAGGTAATAGAGACTCTGTTCCCAAGTTTGTTGGCTTGCTTGTAGCCAAGGGTGGGTGACAAAATATGGTTGTTTGTTAGCTCTTCCGTGGCAAAGTGCACGCAAACAATTAGTGGTGTCCTTTGAGCTACTACTGGACACATGTCCATGTACTGGTAAATACAGGCTGTCACTTCAACAGTGGTGAGAGGACAGCACAAGCCCGAGACATCTCCTGCCTTCTCCGTAGGTTGTCTTAGGAGCACAGCATAAAAGGGGCCAGGGACTTTGCACCGCTGGTACCCACATGGTACTCAGAGTAGAGTCTGCAAAGAAATCCTCCTGGCAACTGCTGTGGAAGTCAAATAGAAAGTAATTCTCACTGCAGCAGAACACCCATTGCTATGAATGCTGCCAGTAGCCTTTCCAAGTTAGCCAAGGTCAGTGGCAAAACATCTATCTCTTGCCTTCAGTCCTTCTGCAGAAACTGCAGTTGTGCCTGGTTATTCATGTTTAGTTTATATAGTGTATCTGCTCCTGAATGCCAAAAAACCCATTCCATGTTAAAAGTGGTGGGAAGGTTACAGTTTGTTTCAGTGACGATAGCCTGGAAAACATTCATAAAATAGTTTTATATGGGGAAATTCTTCCAGTAAACTAAATTATTCAAACTTCTGTTGCCATTTTCATAGTTTGGATCTACAAGTGTGCCACCTAAGTGACAACTGCCAGGGAGATTGTCCTTTCTGTGAAAGTGAGACTGGGAAA